GCCGTACGGCGGTCCTTATTGTGAATCAGCGCACCCGCGCTGTCTCTGGTTGTCTCACTGACGCCTGGTTTCCTGGGACCAGCTGTGCGGATTAGCTTGCGGTAATTGCCCACTGCTCCTGCCTCATCCATTTCTTGAGCCCTATTGCTCCACCAGGATTTCTTGTTAGCACGTAGGCTCCGCTTTAACTCACGCTTAATAGCCCGTCTGGTCACATTGTGTTCAGAGCCAGCCGGGAGGTGTCTTCTAGATTCCAACAGGTTCACCGACCTTTCGGATATCCAGTGACTGGTGCGGTGACGATTGATGTTGCCACAAACAGATGCTCCTGCGTCGTGCATGGCGGCCGAGATCCTATTCCACTGAATCTCAGTGTCATTAGGACAAGACGGCGGAAGTTCGATACGTAGCGCCACTTGATATGCTTGCCTGACCGAGGACTGAGACCATTTCTCCGTTGCCAATCGTAGGGGACGCTTAATGCGCCTCCCGGTAAAGTCCATGGAGAAATGACAGCGTACCAAAGCATGATCAGAGTCGACACAGGTACTCCAGTATGAGCGGAAATCCAGGATGGAACCACGCCATCTGGAACTTATGGCTATGTGGTCAATTTGGGTCCATCGCTGGCCAGCTACAGGAGGACGCCAAATGGCACTTTGGCGCCCTATCTGTCTAAAAGCGGTGCTACTAAAAAACAACTGGTGCTCTGCACACAGTTGCAGCAGACGCTCATCGTTGTCAGTCCGTTCGGAGTTAAGCCCACAATTACCACCCAGTTGAGCGTCTGAAGATCTCAGACGCCCTACTTGTGCGTTCATATCCCCTGCAAGTACTATAATATCTGAACTAGTAGCACTGCGTAGTAGCGCGTTCAGTTCGTGATAGAATGTGTCCTTGAGAACATCTGAACTGCAGTCGGTGAAAGCATTAGCGGAAATCACAAACGGACAGCGTGTTGTATTACTTCGTGAATCAACCTTAGCTGATGTCGTCAAACGGGCTGCACATAAACGGCTGTTCACCGGAATCCAATCAACCAACAGTGGTTCAGCCTTGGAGCTTAGAATGATACCTACACCAGCTTGACCCGTGAGTGTTGCATCGGCATCTCCGGATGCGTACAATAAGTAACGTGAGGATAAGCCGGGTGCAGTTACTTCAACAACTCCATTAGATTCATTGATCCTAGTTTCGGACATGCAACACACATCAATACCCAGTGTGTCTAAGGTGCGTGCGAGTGCAGCTTGTGGACCTGTTTGTCTTAGAGTGCGAACGTTGAATATCCCCATGGAAACGGGATAGCGTGGTCTTATAAGGGACTTTTGCCGATAGGTGTCCGATAGGTGCGGTGGGATGGTGGCTGCAGATGGTTCCACTCCAGTGGCATTTCGTTTGCCGTCAATTAAGTTGGGAATTGTAGAAGGAAGGTTAGTAATGGGGGTCGGGATGGGAGTAAGAGAAAAAGATGGAAAAGAAAGAAGGGAGGCGCCAGCAGTAGCATGTTTTTGCTTATCTGCCCTGCTGTATGCAGCAGACAAGGCGACCCTTGATAATCTGCGCGACGGCCGATGCAGGATGAAGTTTATGTCTGAAGAAAATGTCATGGTTGTATGTGGGCTGAGATACTGCCAGGGCGCCCAGACCTAGACAGGAGGACGATTAGGGTCCTCATCCAAAGCCTTTGGCTCAAAAGCCTGTCCGCAAGGCAGCGGGGAGGTGACAATGATCTAGTTTTACAGAAATGGATGCCATCTTATTTCAAACCCCAACCTGGAGGGCCAGGAGACTGAGTTTGTCTGACCTCTGACCACTGACCAACCTGGTGGGAGTAGCTCTCAAGGTGCCCGGAGGCACCATCCAGTATAGTTCAATGGGTCAATGAGGTACGCAAACCGTCGCACCACGTTAAGGTCCAGTCTCGTTGCGACGGGGGAAAGGGAAGAAGAGGAGCATGAACAGTAACCGGCTGTGTGCTAAGTTCAACCCTTGAAACTCCATTACGAGCTCGTAGCCTTAAGGATCACAAGCCTGCTTTGCAGGTTCGAGCCTGCGTAGGGACCAGGTGACTCTCGCAGTATGCTTGGCCCACGCGAGACCGGTGATGGCTGCGTGGCAGCGAAGCGTCGGTACTGCATACCGGCGTACTGCTGATGTCATGTAGAGAAATACAGAACGAGATTAAAGCATGATAAAATAAGCATGGTTTTATGTCGAGCCGAATGTTGTAAGGGCGGGTGAAATTAGGCCGGACAACAAGCAGTGGTCCCATTCAAAGCATTTGAAACAATCGTTTGATAGAAAAGAGGTAGTCATTTGCTGACAGTCCGTAAGCTGGACTATCCCTCCATAGATGAGGCTGCGTAACCATCCAAAGAGATAAAAAGCTCTGGATTTCGATCAAAACCTACCAATTACAAGACAATCTGCTATTTGTAACATACTAACAAAAGAGTCACTAAGTTAGTGAGGTTATTAGCGATCGGTTCTTCTTTCCGGTCGCCCGATCAATCAGATTCTATAGAACAAATTCCGTCCGGCCACTGCTATTGCAGGAGTCAATCGCACAGTACTGGTGTTAGTTGTTTGCCAGTGGAGTGACTTAACGAACAGATGAATGCCATCAGCCTGGCCTACTCGAAACTCCGGATACCACCAAAGATCGGGGGTCATTTTAGTGCCAATGCAAACCATGGTGCTGCATCTGACTGAATTCAAAACGGAGCAAAATGAACACTTATCAGATGTGGATGAGTAATAGGGGTGAGCTGACCGTGGTCCCACACAGAGGTGCAGTATGGTTACAAGTTAGTACATGAAGAAGTTATTGGAGAACCAACCCTCTGAGAAAGAAACAATATGTAGACCGGCTACTTAGCTAAAGCCTCTACTTGCGCCCATCATGGTCCCGATATTGAGTTGTTATGTAGAAAGAACGGAGTAGCGGGTCCAGCACCTTGTGTGTGATGGAACAACGTCATCATCATCATCATTACCCTACGAAATGAGATCGTAGATGGAGGGGGAGGCTAAAAGGGTTGGCGAGGGACAAAGAAACTCACAGCATGAACGCCACTGAGGTCCGCTGCTTGCCATGTCAGCAAGTGTATCTAGCCAAACGTGTTCACCGTCTTTTGGACCCCAACCAGAGAGTCGTGACGCTCCAACCGAGGCTAGCTCCGAAGTGAGGGACTTCATTCCCCTGGACCAAGTCATCGCTTGGCCACCTACCCTCTTCTTCCACCCACATCCCCGGTGAGCAAACAACGCACGTCGAGGGAGTCGGTGGGCTGGCATGCATAACACGTGGCCGAGCCATCGGAGCCTGGTGCGAGAAATAACGGTGCTGAGCGGTTCAGATCCTTTACCTGGGCCGTAAACAAGGCGTCGAACACGCTCGTTACTCACGCGGTGTCCCCACCAGAGGTGAGCCAAACTGGGAAGGCATCGATGGTCGAACGTAACTAGCCTCTTCATGTCCGCCGATCTTAGGGGCCAGGTTTCGCAACCGTACAGTAGGGTCGAACGTACTGCTATGGCACAACGTACCTGCAACAGTAAAGTCAGACGTCTTAGGTAATGCGAGTATTCCCTTCGGCAAGCTGGTTTTGCTGTCCCAGTCAAGATGGCCCCGTTAATTGTTGTGCATATCATCAGAACTTTTCCGTACCGTGCCTGTTCGTTGATGCAAGACTAGATTAGAAGGGAACACGCGGTGGTCAGCCATCGTACCTGGCGATAGCAAAAGAAATCGAAGATTAGACGTCTTGCTGCCGTTTAATCCACACGCCTGCCCCGGTTGGGGACCAAAACACAAGGAGTGTCGTTGGTCAGAAACACTTCAGGATGTGGTGCACAACCGAAACCAGCGGACGGTTAGTGCACATAACTGTTTGAACTAAAAGGTTTAGTTTTCAAACACTGAGACAATAGAACGTAAAAGCGGCATGCGGAAACATACAGAGCGTCTCATTGTCTGGTGAAAACTGCACTTGTTATCTTCCGTTAATATCGATTGTTTTGAAATGCTCTATACCTAAACATTAGGATGTCACTAATTATATATGGTTGGATCATTCGATTCGCGATTTACCTACCACTGCAGTGTCAATGGGGACAGTCAGGGGACACATGAGCTTACAGAAGGACCACGGGTGGCTTGCATTGCACCATCCGCAGCTCTATTCACACACCCCATATTCAGAGTAAACCCGAAGGTATAAGAGCTGGAGGTATGTGGATGGAAGCCACTTTCACTAAACGGCGCCGGCCATTTCATGTGTAGTCGGGAAATCATGCGTACTAGACGTAAATAAGGCGGTGACTGGACCGTAGTCCGCTCCACACTGACTGCATGGAACCATTATTAGAGCCTAACATGACCACAAGGACCGTGCACCCCGTCCACTTCAGCAACGACCAACTGTCTCCTGGAGCCAGTATAGGCGAGGTAGAGGGTGCTAGACAGGTAGGCACTTTGTCAACAATCACATCAAGCGCAGTCACACCGGGGATATCAAACAACCAACAAGGAATGGGAATGAAAATAAGCACCAAAAATGAACACGAAATATAAGGCAGAATATGAGAACGGAGCAAAGTATATAAAGCGGAATACATTTCATCCGGGTTAGAAGGATGCAGTCTAGATGTAACTCGGTGTAGCTCAACTGCGGTGAGTAAGCATGATGTATGCAACATCAATCTCAGCATAAGGCAACACGGAGAAGTGAGGTGCTAAGGAGTTTCAGAAATGAACGGTGGCTTTCCAGAGCATTAGGGTGGCAGACCGACTAGGTTTAATTGTGATTACAGTCACTCTAACCACATAAACTTCAATGTTTCAAATACAAAGCGCATCGTACTCTTCAGATACGGAAGGGCCAAGGAATGCGAACTGGACATGAAATGATCCATAAATAGCGAAAATAAGCAGGCTTTTCATACTGAGCTCTTTTAATTAGCTGAAGAACTGGTAAGTAGCACTTGGGACATACGCTGTGGATTTCGTCTCCTTGGTTTTCTCAATGGTTTAGTTTCTGTTGATTGCGATTCTGTCTTCACGGTCGGCTTGATATCGTCCTCATCTTCGTCGTCATCACTAAGAGGGACAAGCGCGGCCAAATCGTAAGAGCGTCGATTGCCTAAATAGATGGAACAGATGAAGACCGTCGGACAAAGGAGAACACTTCGAATGGAAGTGGACTTACGCAGTGCCTGGTCGACGAGGTAAGGATTGACACGGTTTTCACGTTTGAATTTCCGCTGAAAGGTATACGAGATGAGAAAGCCTCGATGGAAATGATTGAGGTTAGGTAAAAACAAGACCCACAATCAGCACTGACATATCAGTATATCATACTGGTTTTTCGTCAACCTTGACGCGTCAGTTATGACAAACGGCCCCATTAATAAGAGGCAAGATCTAGATAACTTAAGCAAAACATAGGCAAAAGAACACTTTATATCACCAACCAACAAACAAGCAACATATCAAAGGTATCAGCTGCGATCATACCCTGTAAGATCCCGAGCTAAGTTGTGCGACCTCAAGCCAGCATTATGTCGGCGCAGCATTAGCGACGACTACGCTGTCACCAACGCGGTCAACAGCCGTGGCTTATCAGCTAGAGATATAACGAGACCGTCCGCACTTACACAGACATGAACCAGTGACCTGTGGATTACAAGCCAAATGCCGGAAGCCAATTCACCACAGGCCGGTGAAAGCCCGCAAAGTGAGACATGAAAGAACCATCAACTGTTCAGTAAATAAAATTGCTCACCGTCAACGCATGTGACTTCGCACTTGTCAAAGTGGTTGAACTGATAAGATTATCAGTCGACCAAGGCATCAGAAAGTTGTGCAAACTACGAAAAGCATAAATGCATGAAATTGTCCTATCAAAATCAAAAACAACGGTTGTCACGGAATCCTACCTGCCATTACAATGTCCAAACTTGACCGAATAAAAGCGTACTTCAGCGACCATTGACCCGCGACAGATGACACATTTCACTGCCTCCAGAGTCATTTAGACAAGACTGAACAACGGATGGAGATCAGATAAGGTTGGCATCAATATCCTCCCCACAACCCTTGAATTTTCTCTACAGGAAACTGCAGTTTGGGAATCGTAAATCCGGTTCAATTGGTGATCGCCAGCGAAAAGAAAGAGATAGCGTGCCTCCGTTGTTCCTGGGCTGCTTACGTACGCCTTAGTAAGTTGCCATCGATCAACCAGGGATGAGTTAAACAGAACATATTTGTGTTCATCGAAATCCTATATGAAGCATCTACGGGGCACAAGGAGCATACTGGCAAAGCTAGTTTAGTCCGGTTCAATAGTTAAATTAAAAAAACTGGGATCCAGGCACCGAAGTGCGGTGGAACCAGTTGCCAAGACTCACGTCGCGAGAATAACAGCAAATAACAGAGGTAAGAAATGAACTTGAAAGCAAATAGAGTGGAAAGGAAATGAAAACCGGGCAGAAGTGCTCAAAACTAATCGGGGTGGAAAAGTAGTGGCTAAATGCAAGAAACAGAATGCAGGAACGCCACTGACTGCGTGAGTGATACGGTTTCCAACCAATAGCGTGGACTATCCCGAGGCCCCCATCCACGGAGACGGCACGTATCAGCCTGACTAAGTCTCAGTCAATTTCTTCATGCCTCTATCCCACGTCATGGACTGGCCACCTCGTGGTTTCGCCCAAGATCGTGCAACCATGGCTAATGATGCACGCTTAGGAAGTCGGTAAACGGGTTTACAGTGGACATGGCCTAGCCAACGCATGCGATTAAGGTCTATCAAACACTAGAGTGAGGCACCAGAAGGCCTCTTGCCAAAAACAAACCGGCAAACCTCTACATTGCTCAATCGGTGTGCCCGCCAGATATGGGCAATATTTCGCAAATCAAAAAAGGTCAAGCATTTAATGTCTTGGCCACGAAATGGTCAAAACCTTGATCCCTACAGTAAGACCGACCGTACCGCAATGTTATATGCCCTACATTTCACCGATAGGCTGATAGCTCGCCATCTCTATAGATGGTTGAGTCACCGGAAAATCACACGGAGGTTGCTTATACGCGATGTAACTTCCTTAATGATGTGATCATCAGAAGTGACAGCTACGCCAAAGTAAGTGAGCCGACTCACCACTTGCAGTAGCCGTTCGATGATAGCCAGGACCAGAGGTATGCCAGTCCACTTATGCAAATACACTTGGCACTGAAAGAGTACAACAATCCCAGCACTGAAGGTACGCCACTGCCTAATTACATATATATATATATATATATATATATATATGGTTGGCAGCATCCGGTATCGGATTTGCCTGTCACTGTGGCCAGCCACAGGACGCCTGCGCCTACAGATGGACCATGGGTGGCTTGCGCTGCAACACACACAGCTCCAACCACACACCCCATATCCAGTGTAAACCCGAAGGAATAAGACCGGGAGGCATGCGGATGGGAACCACGTTTCATCAACGGAGCCGGCCCACACTCCTTCACAGGCAAACACAAACACACTGTATTTGGGAATCAAGCGCACACAAGGCGGTGGCTGGACCGTAGTCCGCTCCACACTGAGTGCATGGAACTACTCTTCGAGCCTAGCACGGCCACAACGACCGTGCACCCCGTCCCCTCCAGCAACGACAAACTGTCTCCTGGAGCCAGTATGGACGAGGTAGTGGGTAATAGACAGGTAGGCACCTTGTCAACATGCACATCAAGCGCAGCCACACAGGGGATAGCACGCAACAGCCAATCACTTGAAAGAGAGAAAGAAAAAGAGAAAAACTCGATTAATGCATAAGGAAACGGTGATATAAACCTTAATTAAATAGCATATGTAATAAGTTGATTACAAACAAATCCTAGCTAAGTGCACGAGGTCAGGAAGTATAGTTCACGGAATGCCACCAACACAAAAATGTTATGGAAATCGAATACAACTGGCTTAGGCGAGGTGTGCAAGTTAATGGAATAGAGTACAGGGAGATATTTATATGAGAAAGAGAAGCATTAAGGTAAAAGCTGTAAACCCACCACCTGAAATAAAGAGACTTAGCATGCAAGCACGTGGTTAGTAAATCGAATTCAGCGTGCCTACAAACGCTGCGCCGGATCGCCGTAATTCTCTGCAGGACCCGTCGTCGCTTCTGTAGTGACCAAAAAGGGCCTAGCTCAAGGCCCACTAGACATTATTTCTCATATAAATGTCTAGTGGGCCTTGAGAAATAAAGGCATTAGGAGAGAATCGCAAACCCACCATATATATATACAGTCGATTCCGGTTAATATGACCACCGGTTAATAGGACCAGCCGCTTATTCGGGCCAAATTCTGAAGAACCGAAACGCATCCTATTACGCTAGCCTAATTTTGTCCGCTTATTAGGACCGGAATTCCGCTTAATCGGACCAGACGATAGAAAGTGGCAGGTAACAGAGGCGTTAAAATCAAGTTCTGTGCCTGGATGTCTGGACTAAACCCACAGTTCATATGTCGGGCAAGAAAGCGTATCATTCAGTTACGGTAATCCGAGTTGGCCTTTGGATAAACTGAACTCTGGCAACCTTGAGGCACATCTATCTGATTGGCTTTAGAACCGCCCGAAACTGATTGTAGTTTCCAACACTTGTAGGCGGAGCGAAGACATACATGCTTGTTCACATGTCGTTAACCGCTCGATCGATGTACCGCACGTCCATTGAGCCGAATGCCCTTAGCCCGCATTGCGGGCCTACTCTCGAGCACGGCAAGTGATCGCGGACACACAGGTCCGGCAAATCATAGGACAGCAGGTGGCTAGGTCAACCATAGAAATACCCGGGAGACAGACTCGAGTTCACCTCAGTGAACTGTGCGTGTCTTGTTGCATGTTAAGAAAATGCCACGACGGGACTTGACGTTAGCTGCGAAGATTCGTTTCCTAGATCAGATCAAGGAACAGGGACCAACCACTAGTCAGCGTCGATTGGTGGAAATTACCTGCTTGGCAAAATCTACAATATCGCGCCTGATAAAACAAGAGAAAGATCTGCGAGAAGAATGGGCACAATGTGAAGGACGACGAGGTACTTCCCAAAAACGGAAGCGTGAAGGCAAGGATCCAGACGTCGATGAGGCCCTTAATGATTGATTTGCCTTTGTTACTGGACGAGCCGTGCAAGTAAGTGGCCCAATGTTAAAGTACAAAGCAGCAGAACTCGCTAAAATGCTGGGCCACGAAGATTTTGTAGCTACGGACGGCTGGTTGTCTCGATGGAAATCTATACATGATGTAAAATTTAAGAAAGCACATGGTGAGAAAGAAAGTGCCAATAGCGCTCGAGCTGAAGAATGGAAATCAAAAAAACTACCAGAGCTTCTTGAAAAATTTCCAGCAGATGACATCTATAATGCTGATGAAACCGGGTTGTACTATAGGGCTACACCGGACGGCTCCTTAAGTTACAAACAGGTTACTCTCTCTGGCTGCAAAAAAGCAATGGATCGCGTAACTGTCTTGTGCTACTCAAACATGTCCGGAACAGACAAGAGGAAGTTGCTGCTTATAGGAAAATGTGCCAAGCCTCGCTGCTTTAAGGGACTCAGAATGGACAGTTTACCAGTTGTGTATCGTGCGAACAGAAATGCATGGATGAGCTCTACACTTTTTAAAGAATGCGTGAAGGATTGGGACACAGAGCTACAACGGCAGTCGAGAAAAATGTTAATACTTCTCGACAATTGTGCAGCACATTCAAATTTGGATTTCTTGAAGAATATCCAGATGGAATTTCTGCCTCCACACATCTTTGATACAAGCAATGGACATGGGCATCATAAAAAATTTGAAGACCTTTTATCGTTCAAGGTTGGTGAATTACACCCTTGAATCAATTGAGGAAGGCTTGCTGACCTCATCCTCGACGGCCGGAGCAATCAGTGCAAAGGTCAACATTTTGCAAGCTGTTACATTCGTGGCCGAAAGTTGGCGAAAAATGAGCAGTGCGACGATTCGGAGCTGTTTTTCTCGCTGTGGCTTTAAGCATATTATCTCGGAGATGGATGTGGATATGTTGATTGTATATGAAAATGACGGCGAGAATGTGGAGTTGAAACAAGTTGAAAATTACGAAGAATTTTTGTCAATCGACAACGAACTTCAACTCTATGATGGAAATGAAGAATGCGATGCTGCCATTGTTGCTCGAATAGCAGCGAAACACACGACAGCAACAGAAGACCATGCAAGTGATGA